ACTACTACTACTACTAGTACTTCTAGAAGCAATAGGCAATAGGCCTAGGCGTGTCAACATGTACAGCAGGGAAACAGGGTGCACAGTCAAAGCCGGCCAGGCCGAATATCACATCGATGCAAGGTTAAAGGAGTTTGTTGGCAACGCGCCTTCCTTGCAAAGCAAATGCTGAAGTTCTCGGCTGCGCCAATGGTCTACCGACTGGTGAATGTGTCGATGCAAGGTAAACTGCACGGACACTTTCCTGAACGTGCTCCAGCACAGACTCCTGGCTGCATTGGCTGGTTCCGGCCCCTGCATGCTGCAAGGCCGCGGAAGACCCATGCATTCACTTGAAGATAACACAGAGTCCAGCATGGCAAACGGTTCAATCTCATGTTTCAGGAATGGCGGTGTATATATTCATCGTCACCGGCTACCATCGTCACGTCGGGTTTGTTGGAGACTACTATGCAGATCCAGGTGGCCTCGCTGCACAACTGCTAGGAGTCTGCCCAAGACTTGACAAAAGAAGATTTGCATTGGATGCCTGCATGCTCAAGACGGATGCAAAATATGTGCAGCACATGACTGCCCAAGGCTTGGCATCTATGTCCTGGAAGTCCGGAGAGCCATATGGAAGGCTCCGATCCGTGAGTGTCACAGGGATTGCATTTTTGTAAGCAGACGCATTCAGGCCGCGCCAACACATGATCATGTCGGTCGTCAACGTCTTCACCTCCATGCAACAGCCACTCCTGTAGCTTGGCATGGCTGTAGTATTTCTTCTATTTCACCAATAAAGAACTGCCAAGGAAGGAGGACTACACACACCTTTTCCGCGGACTTGATCCTGACCGAGAAGAGCACATGACCAAAGCCTGGCAAAACTTCCAAGCAGATTTGCAGAACGCCCGACAACTTCATCGCATGCTTGACATGGATGCCTGACTGGACTCTTGTGATTCCTGTGTTTACAGTCGCAGTCTGCTGAGGTGGAGGAGGAGAAGCGTTGCGTTGCAGATGCTCGCATGTCATCAAGCGGCCTTCAATGCAATCGGACTGCTGGGGGTGCAGGAGATTGACAGGCGGAACAAAGAGCGCGAGATCATCAACATAAATATGCCTGGCACTGATACCGTCGCTTACCAACTGCGAACTTTGATTCCAAGAGCTGCGTCCAGTGCTGAGGTCCCCCAAGGTCCTCGAGAGCGCGGTTTCGAAATGAGCACTGCGGCACTTGAGGAGTCCTGACTGAGTCCTTACCTGAACGCTCAAATGTCGAAGAACTCAAAGATCAGTTCTTTGCAGAGCCGGGGTTGGTGATGTGGGCGAACCCCTGATCACCGAACTCTACCTGGAGCCGGATTCCACAAAAGCTTGAATAGTTCATCATCTTTCTGTTGAATCCTCTCCAGGTTTGGTGTATTGGTTCATGATATCAAAAGCATGCAGTGTGTTGCAATGAGCGGGCACAGAAGAAGTGCTTTCAATTTAGATGGGTCATTAACGGATGAGAATTAGCTAGGTCTTCACAAAGTCCTCCCTCACGACAAGTGCTGCAAGTGAGGCCTGGCATGATGTGATGAATCCGACGGGCATTGCCGAGCCAGTACTGCAGCATCGTGCCGATTCCTCGTGCAGGCTGGCGCTGCTGAGCCCGACTCGTGGGACAAGGCCATATCATGTTTGCTGATCGCTCCATGTAAAGTCTGTTGGCCATCGACGAACTCAGTCCATGTTCTGCCGCAGCACCGTGCAACATTCGACTGCACGGGTTAAAGCAAAGCGGAAAGCATGAAAGGAATGAAAGGGCTCAGTCGGGCCGGAGCCAGCTCAGGTTTCCTATGCAGAGAAATGCAGAGAAGCTTTTGAAAATTGGCAAGGTGGACACTATGGAGCTTATTCTGCGCAGCCACTAGGAATGTTCCTTTAGCCGGAAACTCGCCTTCGAACGAGAGTGGTAGTTTGTCTTTGATGGACGAGCATGTCTACAAGCCTCGACAATGTCGGCAACTCTGCCATGAAACACAACATGGAATCCACGTTACATCGAATCGCGGCACCTTTTCAGAGTCTTTCCCACCAACCTGCCACGAAACCTGAAGAACTTCGGTCATGCTGGAGCTAGACTTGGACAAGCCCAGACCTGTTTGACCCAACTAATGTATTCTGGAGGGGGGGCACCCCAACCCAAACATTCCCTACCCAAGGGTGGATCAATATCTTCCGGGGGGGTTCGTCCTAGGTCGTTTATGTGGCGGCATTCCCATTTCGTAACTGAACAGCCGGAGACCCTAAATCCTAACCCAGAAAACTGCAGACAATTCCTTGCCTGGCTTTGTCGGAGTGCGAGCGCCAAAACCCAGAAGCCCTGAACCTGGAAACCTTAACACCAGAAACCCAGAACCCAGAAGCCCTGAGCGTAAGCCCCTAAACCCTAAACCTAGAAAGGATAGACCCAGAGACCCTAAACCCCAAAGCCTAGAAACCCTGAACCCCAAAACCTTAAACCAGAAACCCTGAACCCGGAAGATCCCAGAAGTTCGTGCTTGTTAGCGCAACGGTGCCGAAGTGCGCCGGGGCACCTGTGGCAAATCCAAGCCCACACCTGTGCGATAAAGGTGGGAAGATGAACTCGAAGAAGGATTGTGAAGGTCACCTAGTCGTACACGAGAATGCCACCATTTCTGATACGTGCAACAACGAACAATACCCTCATCGTTTGCACCGGTCGTTTTGCCAATACGCTGATTCCAGACCAGCTCATGGTTGTGTTTGCTGTAACGAAGGTTAGTTTCGTCTTGAAACTTCTGGTAGTGGTTAGCATTTCTCATCGCTCCTTCCACTTCCAACCACTGCGACTGGGGCAAGTCAGCGAATTCACCCGTCTTGTGGGTAATTTTGAGACGGATATGCTTGTGAAGGCCAACGTAGCGCCCGCACATACCCGCTTGTACCCGCGGGCTGAAGAACGTGACCATTGTCTTCCATAAGGCTGGGGGGGGCGCAGGAACACCGTCATCAACAGGGCCATCTGCAGTCTCATGCTTGCGGGGAGAATTTCCTTCGTGCCAGTCCTGGATATACTTTTGCCAAATTTCCGCCAACATACGCTGTATTCAAACAACCGTAGAGGGCGAAAGTCGCGAAAGCTGAGAGGCGAGACCAGCATACTTCATACACAGAGGAAGCTTCCGACCCTTGCTGGGAATGTTCTTTAGATGAGGTTTTCGAACAGGGTCGAAAGTCGGGCAGTCCCAAAAAGTTTGCACCACAGGAGCATGGAGAATCGTGTATCTTTCTGTGACGAGCACTGCGTTCCTCGGACAAAAGACCACCTGTAAGAAGCCTTCGCAGAACTCCGACCTTTGCGCGCGCATCATCCACATTTACTGCATACCCCTCGGTCTCAACCCATTCTTCAACATCAGCTAAAAGGGAGCCATGGTTTCGTCCATATCAACATTGCCCAAATCGCCACAGTGCTGAGGCCCGTCACCACTCACCTTGCTCCACAAAAAGCACCGCCGTTTCCAATCATCTCACGTACAAGACCAAAAATTAGCATGGTCTATCAGCTCGTGTAAGCGTTGTGTTGCACCATTTTTGTGCACACAAAGTAGTTGCAGGAACGTTTCTTAGTTTCCTGACCGTCTCAGCAAAAGCATTTTTCGCGGATTCTCATGGTATAGGTGGATGACGTAAGCGGCGGACAGTAGCATGCCATTCGTCACAGCGTTTCTGCTCAAGCTCCGTCAAAGAAACCTTACGAAGCCTTCTGCCGCCCTTTCATTTTTTCCCGTATGTCGGGTATTTGGGGCTCACAGGGCATCGCACATCACATCATGAAATCACTATGTCATAAATTCCCTGTCATGCACTCGTCCTAATTTGTGCTGAGCCATCCCCCCAAAAGCATCCTATCGACTTCGACTACTTCATGAAGTGCATCCTGCCGGGCATCCAAGCCGAGGGTTTAGCGTTTACGGGGGTTTTAGGCTTAGGTTAGGTTGTCTCTCTTTGTTCAGGGTTTTGGGGAGGGAGGCTTCAGTTCAGGGCGGAGTAAAGGCTCGAGGTTGTGGTGTTGGGCCGGGTAGTGGTGTTGACACTGCTGCCCCTAGTGTAGGGTGGAGGTGAAGGCTAGGGCAGATTAGGTGAAATGGGTTAGCTTGGGCATGTGATCATCGATCGCCCGGGTTGTGGTGTTTACACCGCAGCTCGTGGGGTGGGAGGGCTGGTTTTGGGTGGGTAACTACTATTAAGGGCGCGTGAACGAACAGTCGAGGAGCCACTTACCAAACGAAGCGATTCACAGTGATCATATTTCGCATGAAGGATTCCTCGTAGGAAAAGATGAAGATAGATGAAGGTATTAGGCTCGGAGATGACCCCCCCGTCCGCATCTGCATAGACCTTGACCAACATATGGAAACCACGAGTACTGTTCTGCAACTGTGGTCTCGTTGAAGCTTTAGCTACCCCCGAAACATCATCTGTATACGTCCTCGCAGTAACCTCGGGCACAACTGACTCCGCAATCTTACACCTACAGTAGCATTGGGCCCAACATGCCCAAAGCGCCCCTGCAAAATGCAATTGGATGCTCGCCAGAATGCAGTACACGACCCGCGTAGCCGAAAGGCACGCTCAAGTCCATCATACATGCCCCTCATAGCACGCAGAAGATTGGGGTGAGCACCTCGGCGTTTCATGGCCATTAGCATAGTGTCCACTGGCACCACGTCAAAAGCCTTCTTAAAATCATACGATATACCGCCAACCAGTTGGCATTCACCGTACATGTCCGCCTCAAATTCAAGCGCAATGTCCATGCACATTGGTTCAGCCCTCGGTCGCGGCCTACATCCCCACAATTGCTCATGCGCCCATCCTTCCTGCCATTGTAGCGCAATGCCAACCGATGACGCGACCACAATCTAAGACAATCTATACACAGATGACACTACAGATGTACGGCGACAATCGGTAGGGGAAGGGTCTTCGGACATGCCAGGTTTTGGCACAAGAGCTGTGTACCCCGGCAAGAGTGATGTCGGCCAAATGCCCGTCCGCTCCACGTAGTTGAGAATGCATGCTAATAGTTCAAGTTCAAACACCGCCGGCGCCCAATATGACAATGCACGCAATCTTTTGGCCTGCATTGGTCAAAACTACCCGCGCTCGTCTTTCGGGAGCGTGCAGCGACTATCAAAGCGTCACCAGTAATGACCGGGTGTGCGCATTGTTCATATGTCCACCGAAACGTTCGAAGAACTCCTTCGTTTTGGCTGTTTGCTTGCAAACTTGTTGAAGAAAGGCCTCCACGCATCAAGGGTAGATTTGAGCTGTTGTTCCTTGTTCGCGGAAAATGTGCCATCATCCATGCACATAACATACGTGTCGGATTGCCCACCGCACGATGACAGAATACCTTCACACGAGCGAGCTTCTCAGCACGTTGAAGAGCACATGAAAGTCGACGAATTTGTAAAGTCATGAGTCATAACCTTCGCTGTTCTCGCCCTGGGAAAGCGCGCCAGTTTCTGTAACCTGTAACCGAACATGTCCACGACCAGAATTTGGGAGGGTACCACCACGGTCACGTTTCACTGAAATTTTCGAAAGCCAGCCCACTGATCGCTGTGAATAGTGGCCTTTCGCACTTCATACGAAGACATACGAGCAGAAGCAGATTTGTTGACAAAGCTCAAAGCAATCCTCGAGCCTTGTCCTTTGTGACTGGTGTGCGAGTTGTCAAGCCCACCGTGGCCCCAGAAAGCGATATCCAACCAGCCTCCACGCGCCAGGGAACTTAAATAGTTACATTCAAGGATCTGCATGTTAAAGTCACCGATGATGAGCGCAAAAACGTCCCCTCGTGACACCGCATCCTGAAAGATACCCTTCAACATGCTCTCTTTCTCTCGGCTTCCCAACACGCCCAGCAT